TAATAATAGTAACAATAATAGAGAGATGTACGATAAATCAGCTTCCCTTAATATCACTAATTATCCAATGTCATCAACTTTACCAACGGCAGTTGGGGCCATAACATTGAAAGTGGCTCAGATATTGGGATACCAAAGAAATATCATATGGAGTTCGTTTCAGTAACGAGAGGATTCGAGTCCATATGAACTCAAGCACTCCTGTTGTTGGATTTCACAGTGAGCGCCATCCAAATGTAGTTAATGGTGACGACAAGTTCACCCTTCAGCGGGATCTTATTATTAACTCCATATCCTCTTTCCTAGCATTATGCGGTATGTTAATCGAATAGGCCGAATAATGTATCGATGATTTCAGCATAAGCGCCACCAACACTCGTATCAGTTTCAGGATCAAACGAGTATGGTGGAGTAGGCTCCGTTGCTTCCAAGATTTTATCCATTGGTGTCGTTGCCTTGGATCTTTGCATAGCTGTAATAGGTTTGTAGTACTTCCATGGATCCGGGCAATAATCCTGTTAAAAACACCACCAATTAGCAGCAAACTCAACTTCTTCAGAGTACTACACTCCTGTAAAGAGACCACAAATATAGCAGCAAACTCCAAGTGCTATCTATGCTTGTTAGTAATGAGCCGCAGTCGATGGGTCACTTTCCTTGAGCTTAGAAATCCAAATGTGATATTACCTGGTCGGCATGCATCCTCCTCACGAATGTCCTGAATATCCTGAAGTTTACCATCTTGAGTAGCTCATCGGACAGTCGAAGATATGTCATCGCAAACACCCTTCGTTGTGGCTTTCCACTTCGGTCGATCCCTTGTGGCCTTGAATTCCTCAAAATTTGGTTGTATCCCCTTCTATCATATCTACTGAGTGCATTTTCACACGCCACCTCGATCCCCTCCCTCCATGCTGCACTGAATACCTGGCATACAATCGCAAAACGATGAACCATCCATGCATCCGTGGAGTCCCGTCTCCAAATCCAACTTTAATTACCTGTTGAACCAGCTCCTCAGCCCCACTCATTGCCATCTTTATCTGCTCAGAATTTATCATCTCGGCGCAGGTGAAGTTAAGGATGGCATCATGTCTCGCCAGCATTCTGGCGATTGGCCTGTAGCCGTCGCGATCGTTCAGGTTGTAGTATCCTGCAGTTAGCTCTGCTGCATGGCTGTCGTCCTGGTACCACCAGTGTATGCCAGCTATCTGCGACGGAAGTCATGACAATGCACAAAACAAGTCTGGCTAATGGTGTGAAGACGATGTGCGAGTACATGCACTTGCCTTGGCGACGATCTTGACTTTGCAACCTAGGAAGGCCTCGTTAGCCGCATCCAGGATCTGGTCTCCATGCATTATCAACTTGTTGGAGTACCAAGTTAGGAAGAATTTCCCCGAGTTCATCAGATATGTCCCTTTTGCCGCGAAGAACTTGGTTGACTTTGGACTGGAGTTGTATTCACCTGCATCATCCGGTAAGTCCCACTCAGGATGTCCTGCCACCGTTGCAGCCTCTTTGAACTCTCTCTTCATATATTTATCGTAGCACTGCAAAAGATGGAGTGTTATTAGCCATGCACAACAAGCTAAAAGAGAAAAAGAGAAGATTAGCCAAAGCAAAACAATCTCACCTGAAACTCCCCGATGCCGGGGAAAACCCAACCCTGTGCCTCAGGATACGAGGGGTACCTCAATTCTCCAGAAGGGCCAAGACCCACCTCTACGTCGGTAATGACGCCGGCATCCAGAAAATCTGCCATGTTCTCTCTGAAGCTCTTCATGTAGTCTCGGTAAACCTGCACACAAATAACATATATTTTCTGGCTTTCAGAATTTACAGCCTCTCAGATGGTTCCATTTTCATTTCTCTTTGCTGAAATTTGTGTAATGGATATGAAGATTTATATCAACAACATCCTCGCTACAGTCAGGAGTCATTTTGCCCGGTTAGACATGACAGAAGTTCGATGACAAAACAGTGCAAAGCACGACCCACTAAGGTTATAATATCAGAAAGAATGCGAGGTTGCAAGTCACACCTCCACGGCAGTGCGTTCTTGGAATATGGGTTGGTTATCTACTCCGATGGTGAGGTACTCCTGATTCCT